TCAGTGAATCCCAGTTCATCAGAGAGATCTCCCTGTAGTGTCCAGTTCCCTCCCTGGACACTCAGAAATTGTTTGCTGCCATCGAAGAGACAGTACACACCATCCTGTTAGAATAGCTGAAAAATTGTGCTTGACTCGAATATACTTCTCTGATATGGCTTTGTAATAAAACAAGAATAACTAGCACATTTTACCTGGCGTTGCACAGGTCCTTAAGGAAGGGCTCAGGGCAGGGATCTACTTGTGCGTGCGTGCGTGCATGCGCACAAGGGTCAGGGTTGGGGTTGAAGAGGGGCTCAGGGTAGAGGGGTAGGTATGTGTGTAGGGGATTGGGTGGAAGGGATTGAAACTACACCCCCATCCAGAATTCATACCAGGTCTGCTTGCTCTTCCCCTTGCCTCTGCCAGAGAGAGAGCAAAGTGCAAGGCACTGCCCAGCCAGTGAGGAATGCAGCAAACTATGTACTTTCCCCTCACTCTCTAAGGGGAACAGCCACCAATGTCCCCATATGAATCTGGGAGAAGGGGGAGAGTGTCAGTCCTCCCCTGCCCTCCAGAAAGGGCACCTGGGCTGTGGGAGGCTCGGGGCCGGGCAGTCCCAGATGGGGGGGTGCGTGTCCACAGCCAGCCCCTTTCACCTACCTGGTGATTCTGTCTCATTTCTGTTTGACTTTGAGAAGCAATCCCATTCCAGACATACCTCACTTTCCCGGCACAACCAAATTCTTACATTGTTGTTTTAAATTATGATTAGAGATGTTGGAGTATAACTGAAGCCAGTAAGCTGAGCTTATCAGTTAATGGTATCGGTTACACTCAGCCAGCTCCTGGGGAGGCAGGTGGGCAAGAACTGCCCACTCCATTCCCGGGGAGCTTCGCTGACCTACCGCAGCAAAGCCTCCTCCTTGGGAGCCGGGCTGGCAGCCTCACTCACAGGGAGGCTTTGCTGTGGGCTCTGCTTCAGCCTGTTACACAATTTTTAACATCCCTAGTTATAAGAGGAACCCTGGGTCTCTTTGATGGTCCTAGCTCTTACTGTTTAGGAGGCGTTCTTGAATAAATAGGCAAACTCTCTCTCAAATATATAGAGGAAGATGAGTTATTTAAATGATATTAAATGAAAGCGGCAGATGTGGTTACAGACCAAACAAAATAAATCACGCTTTCTAGTGACTAATCTTAGCACGTTGTAATCTTTGTGTAAACAGTGTTCTTTACACCAAGTTGCTAGCATCTCCAGGCCAGGATCCTCCTTCACAGAATCAAAAGGTGCTGTTGCCTTTGCCCCTTAAGTGATGGACTACTAAAGTGTCTCTTTGCTCCCCTTTTGTTACCTAAAATCCATCATCTGTCTCAGAGCAACCAAAGGATTCTGCAGGTGCATACTCTGCCCGTGATGTGATAACTAAGCTGTGTCTTAATAATCAAAACTATCATACACTTTCATTTTCTTCTGCCAGTCAGACAAGTCAATACACGTTTCTTTGTCAAGGGCAGGTTTTGCTTACATACTGCCTGCAAACATATTTTAAGAACATATTTCCAGCACAAACTCAACTCTTTGTGCACAATGTGTATATACTTATCAAAATGATTTTCAGAGCCCCATGTGTCATCAGTTAGATTATATTTTACATTGCCCCAAAGTGTTGGGGTAATGTGTGATAGAGGGCCCACTATACTATATCTCTGCCAGCTGGGATTGGTGGGTTCCGTGCGTCCCTTAGTCTGAAAGGTTATGCTGAGCTATATTAAGTTAATATTGAATGTTCTAGCCTCCTTGTGACTCTTCCAAACCAATGGCTGTCAAAGCAGTACCCTTTTTCATTCATTTTGGAAAGGACTTTGGTTCTGTTGCCTCAGACACTAAGGTGATGGGGATCATATAAATAAGTAGGCAGATCTTGCTTCTGGGTGATAAGTGTGTTCCTAGGATAGATCTGATTCCGAATGTATCTCTTTGGTGAGCTCAAATTACCAATCTTAATCTTAGTTCAGTGTACAGGTAGCTCTCTAATGCATACATCTTGTCCCCAGGAGTGCAATGGATGGGTTTTGAAGGGAGATTTCAAACGTGTTTAAAGGTTCAAGAATAATGTCTAGTGATGCAACAGGGAGTGAATGGTAATTTAGTAGGATGTGAAGTACTCCAAAATGGATGGGTTTGAGGAAGAAGATCCTTGACAGAAGTAAGCTTTCCCTTTGGGATGAAATTGAAGCTTCCAAGGCCTATGAAGTATTCCTTCACGTGAAATTCCATTTTATTTGGCTGATTTAAGTGTGATTTATTGGAGGTCTTGTAAAGAAATTCATTTTTAAAAAGATACATATAAATAATCCTTGAGATTTATAATATATACCCAATTCAACAATAGTCTGATACATTTTTATAAAAAGCCACTTCTGTTTTAAAAATAACCTGGTTAGATTTTTTTTTTTTAAACCACTGTATCCTTCAGAATGGAGTCAAGGGACCATATTTTGAAGAAAAATGTTGTCCTTTTTGCCAAGCCTGTGTCTTCAGTGAAGATTTAAACCAGACAAATCCCAGGTTGCGTAAACCTATTGCTGCTTCAAAACCTGTCAGCTGATATTTAGGATGTGCGTCTTTTCTCTGCATGAGTTTTTTAGGACAAGTAAAATGACTTCCATTAAATGTAGCCTATTGTGCTGTTAGAGTGACTTAAATTGGCATTCTTCATACAAAAGAGGACCCAGTTCATTAAGACAAAGCATAAACTGACTTTAGCAGCAATTCAAGTTTCACTGTATGAATTTTGAGCACTTATTGTGCAAACCTTATTGTGATAAACTTTCTTTATTGATTTCTAAGTAATGTGCGTTCTGTTTTTTCACAGGGCATTCCACAGGAAGCACTGCACTGTCTGAGTGTTATGTTAAAGCTGTTGCAATTTTCTTCCCAAGAGTTTGTTTTAAAGTACACTACGCAGTGCTCTTCTCATTACAGCCCCTAAACACACCAGGAGTGTGTGTGTGTGTGTGTGTGTGTGTGTGTGTAAACTTCAGTGTATTTGAAAAAGTAAATGGGCAAAAAAGGCTTTCATTTAAGAAACTGCTTGATTTGCTAGAAATAAGATTTAAGAAGCATCTCTTTCCTCTTCAACAGGGTGAATCGGTGAAATACTTCCTGGATAACCTGGATCGGATTGGCCAGCTGGTGAGGGGAAACTATTTATAGTCCACAGGGTTTAAAGTTAGGAAGTGCATTATTGCAGATGGTTTAATATCCCTAGTTTATAATGTGTGACCATAAGATCCAAATATTTTAGTTTAAAAAACTGTGTCCTCCTAAAGTGTATTAAACTTTGGCCAGAGCCATCCTGTCCATAAGACAGTTCAGCGTGGCAGTCCCAAGCCCCGCGCTTTGGGGGCCCTGATGGTGGCTACCTCAACCGTCTTACGGATGTAGCCCAGCATGGCCAGGAGGATTACCTGAGGGCCTGGTGCAGGGTGGGAGCAGGGGTTCCACCCCCGCTCACCACAGGTGGTGTTCTTTCAGTCACTACAGTGGAGTAGGCTGGGAGAGGGCAGCAGGGTGGAGCAGGCTGCTGGGTCACTCCAACCTCTGCTGCTGCCCCATGATGAGCCTCCCCCCACACCTCCCCTCCCCCCCCCAATCCTTTGACTCAGTTGGCGCAGGGGAGGGGCAGGTTTTAGGGAAGGGGTGGAGCAGAGGCAGGGTGGAGGTGGGTTGTGGGGACGGAGGGGGGGTCCCCAGGCCCTGCCCCTCCCTCAGGATGGCCCTGACTTTGGTCTGTACAACTTGATATGGGTTTGAACAATTTCCTAAACCTTTGTATTGACAAATAAGAAATACAGTAAAAAGTTACATGCATAAAAAGCCTCATCTTCCTTTTCTGTCTCCTCTCTCATCATCTTTTGGACCATGTCCACTTCCTGTGTTGAGCTACTGTTCACAAATGCCCTGAGTAGCAGTGTGAATTTTACAAGAAATTGCCATTGAGCTTCTGCCACCTGTAAGGGCTACAGTAATGGGGAAAACAGTTTGGGTTGTTGCAGAAGGGCCAGCTGGGTTCAAGGGAATGTAGTGCTGCTCATCTCTTTCTTAGCACAGAGAAAGGTGGTAGAATTCCATCCATTTCACTGTTGCTCAGAACCCATAGGTAGCCGTGAGATTGGCCAGTACTTAAAACAAAATTAAGCTTGTGGTAGTGGTCGGCACATACTACTGTGGAAGGATATTGTCACTAAAGCTTGCAAGATGATGTTGATATATCAAGCTTTTTAAAAATAATTTCACTGACATTATGGCTGCTTGCATTCATTAACACTAATTAATCATTTATCGTTAGGATATTCTTGCTCATGAAGGTAGTTTCCAATCTGAAAATAGAAGAGAATTTAAATATGCAGAAGGGATGAAACTTTGAAGAAAAGTACTGGACCTATAGATTAACTTTCACATGCCCCATCATGTTCCTCCATCTTCCAACTGCAAGTTTTCAGTGTGCAGTCCACTGGTCCCATTAATTTTGGCAGTGCATAAGAAGTCCTTCATTTGGTGACAACTGATATTCATTATCCTATAGCTCCTGGAACAGGAGCATTATAGTTTCCCACAGCTATGATTATATTGAAATGATAAATAGTAATTTTAAAATCCTAGCTGATGTTGCATATTTTTAAAAGGAAAATCTGAGGCAATTTGATGTTGTTGTTCTTTCTTTTACAGAATTATTTTCCAAGCAAACAAGATATTTTGCTAGCCAGAAAAGCCACCAAGGGAATTGTAGAGCATGACTTCATCATTAAAAAAATACCTTTCAAGATGGTGGATGTGGGTGGACAGAGGTCTCAGCGACAGAAGTGGTTCCAGTGCTTTGATGGGATAACTTCAATTTTGTTTATGGTTTCCTCCAGTGAATATGACCAGGTTCTCATGGAAGACAGACGCACAAACAGACTGGTGGAGTCCATGAACATCTTTGAGACAATAGTCAATAACAAGCTCTTCTTTAATGTTTCTATCATCCTATTCCTGAACAAAATGGATCTCCTTGTAGAGAAGGTAAAGACAGTCAGCATTAAGAAGTATTTCTCAGATTTCAAAGGTGACCCTCATAGGCTAGAAGATGTTCAGCGTTACTTGGTGCAGTGTTTTGACAGAAAGAGGCGGAACCGCAGTAAGCCACTTTTCCATCATTTCACAACTGCCATAGACACTGAAAATATCCGTTTTGTGTTTCATGCAGTGAAGGACACGATCCTTCAAGAGAATCTAAAGGATATTATGTTGCAGTGAAGAAGAGCTCCCCTTGTCTTGTTGAAATTTACCCAGGGTCTATAAGTCAAAGCTTTGTGGTTTTAGGAACCAAGCTGTTCACTTGACTCAGGAACGCTGAAACTAGCCAGTCATGGAGACAGAAGGAGTCAAACATTGATGTTAGCTACTGAATCATTCAGACAAGTAACACTACTGAAAAAAGTGTCCATTATAGGGTTTGACAGCTAGTTTGGAATGTTGAATAACAAAATCACCTTCCTGGTTTAGAAAAATCTAACCTTGAAAAACTGCGTAAGGAAGACTTTTAATGAAAACTGTTATTTTGCAAGGATAAAACTGTAACTGTACAGACTGCCTTTCTCTGTAGGTGCTGAATTAACCAGTCAAACTCATGTAAATTACAACGAGGTTGGTAGTTGTGCTAGAGAATAAATGGCAATATATTAATCACAATTCCACATGTAATCTTTAAATATGTAACCAGATCTTGCTTGCATGTGTAGTGTTTGTCAAGGATCTGGAGTCCACTTATGTGGATGCACAACTCTTGTCTGAAGGCCTTGCATCAATCTCTTGACACATGCAAGTCTAAGACTATAAATGAAATTCAGTAGTATTATGAGTGAAATCCACCAGGCTCTACAAGTCCTGTTTCCTGCCATTCCGGAGTCAAATGGAGGAGAAAATTAAGGCCTAGCTGATGGACAATATTTTGTTTTGCACTACATATACAGTATCTTACATCATGGGAAACTGACTTCCATAGTAATGCAGCTTGAGGCATGCACTAGAACATCTGACCACTTATCTGCACATAGTGGGTGCTCTAGTGAGGTGTGGTTTATGGAAATTCAGCATTGTTCTCTCACCTGCAGTTGGCAGTATTTATGAAGATCCAACTTCTCACTTAACAGGGCTGTCTGTCTCCAAACATGTGGAAGCCGATTAAACTTTTTAGAAAATTTTTTGGAGGTAGAACATCTGCTTGATTAGTTCCTAACAGCTGACCTTACAAGAAGAGCGAACACTCATGAGATTCCAATTTTACAGCTGCACTGATACGTTTGGACAGCAGAACCCTGTAAACTAGCCCAATTTTAATCTGTTTCTTAATCAGATCTTTAGCATATATTAATTTACATGTAGTTTGCATAAACTGTCAAATTTAGAGTGTCCCATTTCAGGTGATGGTGTACACATGTGAAATTGCAAGAGGCTGTGAATAATGTTGATATGAATGGTTGACTTTCTAGCTCTCAACATTTACAGGTGCCTTTGTTTGTGTATAGATAATACCAATCTTGTCTACTACAATGAGGTGCATAAACAAAATTTAAGACCTGCCTTTTATTTCAATGCTGTAGTGTCTTTTTTTCTTCTTCCCAGGGAGCTTTCAAACACAAATATGTAATGTGAAATTGATACTGTAGTTTGATTATTTAAAAAAAAAAATCAGAAGGGCTTTCTCTAACTAGACTAAGACAGCAGAAACGATGTATTTCTTGTCTCCTTTCAAACTGTAATGACATGTGAAAGAAGTACCCCTTCAGCATTTAATCCTATGGGAGGTGCTGATCTAAAAAGAACCCCACTCTGAAGTTTAACATGTTTAACTTGGATAAAATCTAAAATCTTTCCTGTTGTGGTTTGCAAAAGTTCGTATCTGTGTGTGGTGTACAAAGCTTCCTAATGCATAAATTTCCTACCATTTTAGCTTTCTTTGTGCTGGCTTCAGGAGTGAAAAGGATGTGGTTGTGTTCTACTTTTATATAATTAATATAAAATGTTTGGTGAAGTAAACCAGTAAGGAGTCGCAGACAGAAAATCTATTTAAAAATCACACTCCCATTATTTCTCTCATGTAAACAGTAGTTAACTACCTAATTAGAAAAGTCTTACTCTAGGGACCAATTTTACTTTTTTAACACTTAGTGATTTTTTTAAAATATAAAAAGGAAAATATCAATTTATCCTCCTCTTTCAGTATTGTGCATTGTTTCAGATGAGGATTCTGTTATGGTAATTGCATTTGGAAATGTAAATGCTTCAACATGAGGTGTTACAAATAGCAGCTGTGGGGGTCTAGTGGAAAATATATTTTCTGAGTTTGCCTCTTTATTTTGTTAAATGAGATGTAAAGGTGATCACTCTTCATTATTCATTCAAATACTGTATTTAGACTTTGCAGTAGTTTCTGTTCAACATGAGACTTTAGAGTTATAGCAGGTTAATGCCAACTGCATAGCTTTCTAGTTGATACTTGTATTTCATTATTTTACTGAGTGTACTATTTGGAATAATGTTTTCCCTGTTCAACTCTTGAAAAAATGTTCCCTTTTTAGAACCACATTTTTGAAAAGCTGCCTGTTTTAACTGAGAGACTGTAGTATGAAACTGCTCTTCTTTTAATGCACATATAAGATCTTATGTTCTTGGTCACTTTTTTTATTCTTTTTTTTAAAAGAACTAAACTAATACATGTGCTGTTCTCAAAGCAACTTTCACCATTAGAGTTTCACCCTGAAAAGTAGTATTCTGTGTTTCCATGTTTAATTTTGACAACTCTTAAGTCTCATTTTCAGATGATAGTACTAAAACACAACCAGTTGTTCTGGCATGCTATGGCTACTTTGTACCATGAAGTTGCCCTGTTAAGCCCAGAAGGAAGGTGGGGATACAGGGCTGCATGGCCATGCTGTCTTCATGTGTGTTGTCTCCAGTAAGGACAAACAGAGGAAATGGCTTGCAGCATGTTTAAGCAGGAGAGCTCTATTATGTGATCTATCAATTTTTAAAAGTGGCAGATGGGAGCCTGTACTGAAAACCATGTTGATATCTTGTGGTGCCTTCAGAACTGTGGCTTTGGCGCAAGACTCATTCAGGTTACTGGTAAGTGCCTTTCCCTCAAATTAGCTCATCAATAAATTGCTCTTTATACTATCTACAAGGCAGTAACTACTGTGGAATTTCCAAGTGAACTGGGCTTAAACAATTTTTATCTTTAAAATTTTACATCACAGTTGTTGATGAACTACAGGTTTAATAGCTCATCAATAAATTGCTCTTTATACTATCTACAAGGCAGTAACTACTGTGGAATTTCCAAGTGAACTGGGCTTAAACAATTTTTATCTTTAAAATTTTACATCACAGTTGTTGATGAACTACAGGTTTAATAGGTAATTGCCACTTTTAACAACATATTGACCAATACTCTTGAGATGTAGGGGGAACGCAAGGTATTGTGGTGATGAAGATGAATGTAGTTATGATTAACAAGTTGCTCTAATTTAAATGACAGCTGCTTAGAATATTTCTAGTTTCATTGTCACTACACATCTGAATTTTATTTCATGTTATATAGCAGAGTAGGCAGTTTGAGCTTGACAACTTTATAGTAAATTACATGTTTTAAATTGTGCTGTCAAACCTAGAATTGTGCAGCTAACATGTCTAAAGGAGCTTCTAATGACTAGCATTTTTGCAAGCTTTTCAAAAATAACTAAAGGGTTAACAAGTTTGCTGGCTGAAGTTTAAACAGAGCTGAGAGCATTTGTGCAGCTCAGATTTTAGTATGGAAGGAGCTATAGTTCAAACACTGTGGGAGGAGCTCATCAGGTCAAAGACTAAAATTTCACTGTACTGAAGCTGAGACAGCAGCTGAAGTGGAGTCTCAGATGGTGTGAAATGCGTCCCACCAGTCCATCCGCAACACTGATTTTTCACCCTCCACTCCCCCTCCCAAATTCCCGCTCAGATAATGTGGCAAGACTTTTTTAGGGAAGTTGAATTCTGAGGAAGTACCTTGAGTAATCCAGATTTTAATTCGTATGCAGGTGTTTTGTGTCTTGTGTATGGGTTTCTTCCCTTTCCCAACCCTGCGATGGAGTCTTTCAGATTAGTGCTAATTATCAAGTGCTCTTTAAAGACTTATTGTTTAAAGTGTGTGTTGTAAATCTCTGTAGGCCTAATTTTGGAGGAACCACTCTTTCTTCCTTCAAAATACCTTGGCTGATTGTAGTTGTTGTACTTCTAGGCTGAGGCTGCTTAGTTAATTAACTAGTAAGAATGATACTTTTGAGCAATTGCTCTCATGCCCTCAAAATACAACCATACACCACAGCTCACCATACACCCCAGAGAACAGGTGCTACAAAGCTGCTTCTAAACTAATGTTCTGAAGCCCTGCTTTCCCATGTATAAGTCATTTGGTATTGAATAATCCTGGTGAATGGGCAGAAGCATATATCCACCAAAGAATTTCCATAGTAAAGGAAATTGCAGTATGGAGACTCAGCCATTCAAGGGGTTAGTAACCCTATTGTGATGCACAATTTTTTTTTCTGTTCTTACAAGATAGACTAAGGTCCACTTGTGCCCTAAATTTGCAAGGGGATGCACTTTGACCCAACTTCGTAAAGATAATATCAATATGACTTTTTCTGTTTGCATCAATGAGCAGGCAGTGGCACTGTAACCTATTCTGTAATTCCAGTCTATGCCCACAGCAATAAATTGGTCCGTACTTTAATACTTGTTGCTTTGACAATGGGTAAAATGCCCTTGATATACCCTTCTTACATCAGATGTTTCAAGGTATTTTCATCATCAGAAGTTACTTGTTTAGTAGCCTAGAAAACAGTGTACCCACTGTACTTGTTTTATTGCGGTAACAAAACTGTTCTTATTCATTGCATTTTCCATAATGATGCTATGTAATAGGGCCTGGATTTTTTTTCTTAACTTTGAAGGGAGTTGCATGCAGAAAACTTCCATCAGATGTTCAGGGTGGCCTTTATACACCTATCAGGATTCCAATTTTCGAACAGATCAAGCCTTGAGACAAATGCAACTTGCTATAAATCAAATACTGACCTCTAAAGATGAAGACTGTACCTATTTTTGCAAGCATTAATCTCTTCCTCATATCAGTTGTCCAGTTGCATTAAACAAAGTGGTGTAGTGAGGTTATAAGTCTGATACCTTATCAGCTCCCCCTTAGTCTTGGATGGCCGTCAAGTAGCACTTTTGTTATAAGTCCAACTGTTTACATCAGTGTAACCCTTCTCCCTTTTTACTGCAACACAGTAAAAGTTGGTGGATAGCGAGATACTTCAGTAGCTCCTCTAAAGCAATAACAATCTTTCTAAGATTTCCACAATGGCTGCTTCTTGGAAGACCTTGTATTCCTAAGACAGAGCTTTAAGATTGTTTTAGAACCTGTCTTAAAGTGAGTAAGCATGGAGTCTCTTCCAGTCTCACTTCCAGAGGTTCTAGCCTAAGACTGAGGTATGTTGACAGTACAACGCAGCACCTTCCCCCAGGGTTGTAGTGCTGCTGCCGGAGTTGTGCCGCTGATGCCGGGGGTTGAGTGGTGTGTTTGTGTGTGGTGGTTGTTTTGTTTTATAGGGGGGGGGGTTGTATCTTGCTGGAGGGAATTACCACCCTCCCCCCACTTAGTGCTGTGAATTGGGGTTTTGTTTTGTTTGTTGAGCACTAAATTCACTTTTTGTAATAGTTGACACTAAATTGTTTTACACAAATGGAGATGAGGGGCAGGTAAACTATTCAGAACTGAAGCTGGATCTGTATTCACTATCAGGTGGCGCCTCTGCTCACAGCAGCTTGAGTCAGTTTAGTCTTGACTCTGAATTGCTTGGCTCTTTAAGTCTGTATCTCTTTTTAGCTGTATCTTGAAAATCAGTGTTTAGGTTTCGGTCTTGTGTTGACATGCTTGTCTTTTGGGGGAAGAAGGGAGACACGGGATGGCTCCAGTGCCAGCAGTTCTGTGGCTGCCTTGCTGTACTCTAACCTATTACAGACTAGTTCTTGGCATTTGTCCATGGTTCATTTGGTTGGCTTGGAAATAACCACAGTCAGAAGGAACAAGCTGCACTGATGTCCTCCAAGATGGACTTTCTGGCAAACAGCCCAAGTGTACTGTTGAGAGAGAGAGTGCGGTGATTTAGTTTCTAAATGGATCTCAAATGTTTCTGCTTGAAACAAAATGCCATCCGTTGTGAGCTAGTATTCTTTGATAACAGACTCCAGGAAAACTATTTGGCTGTGTATTATACCAGCACATTGGCACAGCTATAGCAGCTTGCATTTCCTTTTACAAATCCTTTTCCCCAACTGTTTGTAACTGGGTCCTATAAACTCAATCCCTTGTAATTTGTGACATGCAAGGCTCTTATCAGATAGCATGCCTTAGATCAATTAAAAAATTAGTTAACCTTGCTTTAAGGTATTAGATTGTGAGTATGCAGAGACAACTGCTTAAAAAGGGTCAGATTGCTTCAGGTTACTTTGAGACATGAGGGCATGTTGTTCAAAATCAGCTGCTGCTC